GGCTGCACTGTATAAAAAGTACGCTGAATCATGACGATAAAGACTTTAATTAATTTAAATAATGTTCACTGAATTAGAAAAAATCATTCCGTTTGATTATAATCGTACCACAGCACAAAGCCACAGACCAAAACATCCGTGAGCGTCCACACAATGTGATTGCGTAAGCGGATACTGACCGCATCTGGACCCTGGCTGCTTTTGTAGGCGGTATATCCTCGTCCGAACGGTGCAGTGCATGAGGCCGGTTTGGCTGATCTAGGCGGCCTCTCTGGGTCAATTGACCAATCACCTGTCGCACCGTTTTCTGAGAAAATTCTAGAAATGTTCCGCTCGGTACATTCGGTGAGCGGATGTGTGGATCAGTCGTACTCGTATATAAGGAGCTTGAAGCGTCGAGTTTTTATCAGTCAGTCATCTTGTCATTATCCGTGCTGCTGGACCTGTTTATTTTTTTCATAGACCTTTGTCGATCCTGTCTTTTATTCCTTGTACGCAAAAATGGTGTCCGTCAAGTTATGCATCGTTCTGGTCGTCTGCACGGTAAGGTCATGGTTGTTGTAGTGTTGGTCAGTGGTTTTTGTTGCCATTTCCTTGTCATTATTGTATAATCCAGCACAGTTTAATTGGTAATTATCATCTAATTATTGCATGATTTATTTGGTACTGAATATCGTAATAATTGAGAGAAGGCATAATTTGTGCGGATTTCCGGTAGTTAATTACTCAAAATAATTGCTGTAGCTCGCGGTGTTGTTTGAAACTTCGAATGTTCAATGTGTTTGCGCAAATTCACTGGCACTGCACTCATGGCTGCATATTTGTGTGTTGCAGATGTTGGTAACGGTGGTTTCGGCCAAGAAGAAAAAGGGCCAGCAGGGCGCGAAGTGCAAGAGCAGCGCTGACTGCGACACGGATAACGGCTTCTTCTGCAAGATCACCGGCATGGGCAGCAACGGCGAGGTCAACGGACACTGCGAGGTGCAGCTGGACCACCGCGGCCCCAAGGGTGACCCCAAGCCCTCCAATCCCGAACGCCCCCAGACCCCCGATTCGCCCGCGCCCCCCTCACCCGTCAAGACCAACAAGAACAAGGGTAAAGTGTGATGCGTTAAATTCCCTTTTGCACACAGTGTAATATTTTTCCTCCGTCGTTTGTTTTCTATGGAACGCAATGGTGGTGATATTGTTGAATTTTTGTGATATGCGTTATTGTACTAGCATGAATGATGTCCTTCTCTGGCATTTCCACCGCCGAAAAGCGTTTATGCTGCTGTGTGATATTGTAAATTGCCTGTAAAAAGTTTTTTATGTACTCCGTATTGTATGTACGCTTGTACAGTTTAGAATATATGAATCAAGAGAAAAACGATTAAAGATTCGTAATTTTGCTCCGTATGTGAAGCTGTAGCCTGTGAATCTGTAATGAACTGTATGCACAAAAATACGGATATTTAATAAGTGCGTTAAATCTGAAAACCCTGTACTTTACTTTTGTTATTCATCAGGATGACGGTCCGCTTTAGTCTCTCCTCTAATAAAATCAGACAGCTGTTCAGCTAACAGGTTGATTTTCCTTTTTATTTTCCGTCAGATTTCGTGTTTAGGGTTTGAATTTTCTCCTATTGTTGGAAATAATTTGGATATCGGTTAATGACAATTGAAACATACAGCCCATCATGTTGGAATGATTGAGTTTCCGTAATAATCACGGTCATAAGCTGTCACCGCGGTGTGTTGTGGTTCTCAGCTGGTGATCTGCTCTTGGTTCTTCGCTGTATCGTTCATCGTTATCGGCTGGGATTTCTCACTTGGGCCGACATGAATACGCTGACGTATTTCAGTGTGAAACATGCTGCCCCAGGACGGTCTCGTGGGGTTTATTTAAACGAGTAAGGGAAAAGGTTGTAAAATCGCACGACAAAAGTAAAACCGATGAATCATGAAATAATAAATTTCTTATTCAAGTTATTCGTGTTTGAACGGCCATGAAGTTAACTCAGTACGCTTTTTCGTTCTTGAGCAGTATAAACTGTTATTCATAATGGCATTATTATTATTTTTTGCTTGCAAACAGCAAAACTTACTGCAAAATGCTAACCATAATTAAAGCTTGGTAATATTCCCGGGTGTTGGCTGGTGCGCAGCAGTGAAGCTTCTGTTGTCACAAGTTTCGTCTGTGGAATAAAAAATTAAATCAAATGTACCAGGCAGACCAATTACTGTGTGGTTTTTCTGTGTAGTGACCATGCCATCTTCCACAGTGATTATTACTGCGCTTTCTACCCGCACAAAGATCTGGGCAGGGCCGAGGAGGAAGTGTACCGTGTGTACGACGGTCAAGCCACGCAGTTCTGGTTCGACGCGGAGACCGGGAAGTGTGGCGGGATACGCGCGGTCGTGCATGCGGCCGGATGGACGATCCTGAATGATTACGGGGAGCTGAAGGCCGGCGGGGGATTGTACTGGGGCGCCCGCAACTCCCTCAGCACGCTCAACCGGGCTTTTTTGGTGCGCGGCCAGCAGGATCAGAAGCGCGCGGAGATCTGGGCAGTCACCGAGGCCATCCGGCTGGCGTGGAAGGAACGCTTCAGCACCATGACCATCATCACCGACAGTGATTTTACCATCAACTGTAAGTCTGTATGGGAATATGATTAATAAAATTTAACACTCTTTTGTTTAAGTGATGGTGCATTATTATCTCTGGATAATTTATTATTTTGTTATTATTTATTTTAATATTTTTATTTACTTATTATTTTTTATTATTATTTATTTATCGTTTTTGGCTCGTCCGGTTGTATGTTGCATGTTGCTCGCTTGCTACATTGAACAATTTGAACTCCATTTTGAATCATGATTTGGATATTTCGACTGTTGTGTTGTTTGACTTTTAGATGAAGAAAAATTTTATTTAATACGTCATAAATAGTGATTAACATGGTTGTCTCCGTAATTTTATAGGCATTTTGGAGGGGTGGTTAGAAAGATGGAAAGCAGACCACTGGCTGGATATCCATAATCACCTGTTGCTTATGCGGAGGATCTCATAGAACTGGATAAAATTATGGAGCGTTTCGGTGGCGAGCGGATTCGAATGGTAATATCTGTTTGAATGATTTAACAAAGGCATATGTTTTCTCGAGCTTCAGAGTAATTTAGTTTTAAATTTTTTAACAATCCCGTCTAGCGCTGCCGTTTTTAGTCGAATTTCCATCTTTCATGGTGTCTTTTTATCCACTTTTTTCTGCAATATTGTTCCAGAAAATTTGTCAGTATTAGTGCACCGATTGTCCTTGTTTTTTATTGCGCCAGAGTGGTAAAATTGCAAATGTTTTTTGAATGAAATTCCGTGTTTGTTGCAGGAACACATTCATCCACAGTCTGGCAACTTAGGCCACGAGCAGGCGAAACATCTGGCGCTGCGTGGTGCGCGTCGTATGTTGAACGGTGATTATTGTCTGCCATGGGTTCGATAGATCTGTTGTTTGAGGATGTAAGTGCCGCCTCGGTTTTGCATTTTCGGATGAGAAAATTTAGGAATAATGTGACCTGATATTCCGTTTTTACATTCTTGCAGACATTCCTGTGCTCCATCTCTTAAAAGATATAACGCACTTTTCTGGATAATCTCAGATTTGTATGTACATTATTATATGATTGCTTGTCCACTTGACGCTAGTTTGCTCAGTATTTACAGAATTATTTGGAAGAGATTTCTGTACTGACAAGGCAGACGACGTGATTTTTGTACCACTCATTGTTAAAAGTTAAAGCCAATCATCAAGAAAGTAAAACAATTGTTTTTATAGAAGTCGTATTCGTTAGTTCTCTTTATTAATTTTGCGCCCACAACATAGAGTACTTTTCTAAACAGCTACCGGTATTCATTAGCGGCGATCGGTCTTTCCAACGGTACGTTTGCCGGCGAAGAGATGTTTCGGTTTCATATTTAGAATCTTTCGGTCGGCTTCACCCTTCTTGGCCTGGTGGTTCATACGATTCTGAGCGCGTTTCCTCATCTTCTTCGTCTTCTCGACCATCTAATAAGAAAAAAACATTTTTATGCATTCAGTCATACGAAATCAGCGCAGTGCTTATATCCAGGCTTCTGCGCTACACGTAGCGTACATAATAAATTCATTTGTATTTAAGCAAATGCCGCAGCTGGCTCTCTTCCATAGGTTATACTTATGCTAACAAACTAACAAGTAAGCCCATAACACCAAATTATATGTCTCCAGTGATTATTATAAACACTGGTTTACAACAATAAAGATACAGAGTACGAGATAAAATGCGTTACCAGGCACTGGGAAACTAAACAGAAAATATGACACAAAGGAAAAAAATTTGGAAAAAAAATTAAAAGAACAACTGACCTTCTCATCCCGCAGTCCAGATTGATCTCGCGGCACGCGTGACGACGAGCGCACCCGACTGCCGGCGCTGGCACTGATCAGGCGCTGTCGTTTGGCTTTGGCCTCCCGTACCCGACTGCCCTCCGTCACGGAACGTGCTTGTCGTTTTCCACTCAATTCCTCCCCGTCGATACCCAAATCCTCCATCTGCGCGCGCAATCGACTCTCACTGCGATCCCGTTTGCGGCCTGTCGCACGGGCCATACGCGGTTTATTGGTGCTGTTGA